TACCCCCAAATTTTGAAAAATGTTTTTCCAAATCTCAGGTTCGACTCGAGCCAGATGGACAGAGGTTTCTTCAATTTAAAAGAATCTTACTCTTGGTTTAGGCTCTAGTAGTGTTCACAGATACCAGGCGGATGGATGGACAGAAATCGGCTTTCCGCAGCATTACATAACTTTTCTTATTTTACGTATGTTACTCCGTATATACGTACGTATACGGAAAAGTACAATCAGATGTACCCGTGCACTTGGGAAATAATTTGTTGGAAAAGTGAAAATTGCTTCATAGAGAAGTCAACTTCAAATGCCCGATCCCTGAATTGTACACTGCAGCATTATAGACTCAGTACTGTGTGAGAATATCCATTCTAAAATTGCTAAACATTGAAATTAAATTGAAAAAATCAATCACTTCACTTTCATTGTTAAAGACGATTTCTCTCGTTTTCCGTCAATTTAATTTTACATAGATATCGGATTTTTGCACTTATCTGATCCCCGTTCTAAAAAGTGGTTTCACTAAAAATAACTAAATCTCCCAAAATGTAACAGAGAGTACAAAGTTCTAAAAGACGTCTTTTTGCAGAAATCTGTTTAAGAGAGAATATTTGGGCCCTATGACCCCTCCTATCCTTCCATAATCCCCTCGTCATGTCCCGACCTGTCTCTGAAAATTTGTATAGCCACAAAAATAACCTGCTCCCACAAAACTTGTATCCCTTCAGAAACACGAAATTCGAAATTCTGGTTTTAAGGGCCTAGGGCGCATAGTTTACGGATTATGTGCGATTACACCGTATGTGGCAGTAATCTGTTTTGCATGTCATTATCTGTGAAGTTCTTTTTCGTCTTAAATTTGTTGAGTGCAGGATTGGAGGTCCAGCTATCCAACAATCGCACACTTACAGGGATTGGTATCGATAGATTTTTATAAATTGTCAAAATAATAATCTATCCTTAGAGTAATAATATATAGAGTGATAATTATCATGTATCAATCATACGATCTCGTGTACAATATTTCATGAATATACGCAGAGCATGCCATGAAGCATACAATATTGATTTGATCATTCACTATGAAATACCAGATAGATAATAACTGGGATCATCGAAAGAGAGAAAAGAGAAAAAAATAGAATAGGGATGAAAGAGGAAGGATAGCGAGAATTGAGGAAAATCAGAGTAGAGACAACGGAATAAAGAAACATTATATAGTGCGTGTGTAAACTTCCTCTGTCTAAACATTCTTAATTATCTCCACATTGTCATCTCTTTTACAACGTCGTCCCCTCTCTCTCTCTCGCTCTGGAAAATTAAGGAGGAGCAGCGCCCTCTGGAGCTCAACGAACTTCAGGGATTAGAGGCCTCTTGCGTCCTGCGGCAATGCTGAGCATGCGCATTGCAGGATATTCCGCGCGATATTAGACGCTGCTCTGTACGTGGAGCGCTCGTTTCTAGAATTCACGAACTTCCTCTGCAGTGGACGCAGATTTTACTGGATAAGAAATTAAGATTTTGCGTAAACCACAGTACAGCGAGGAAAACATTCTGGCACGTGAGCTGTTTGTATACTGCAAATTAGTGTGAGTGTTTTAGTAAACAGGTTTTAAATTTGAATTTCTTTGTCTGATGTAGTATTTAACAATGCAATAGTAATGCACAAGCATTACTTATGCATTACTATTCGAGATAGATTCTGGAATTCGAAATACGATGAAATGTGAAAAATTGCAATAACTATGTGCATCCGATATTGACAATATGCATCTGTACATGAAAAAGTATTGATCTCATAACAAGTCATATTTTGTCTCCGACAGTAATCGCGAGATCACCAATTTAATATTTATCTTAGTTACATATATTGAGAGAAAAAAAGAAATCATTTGTCAGTTTAATGAATATATTATGTTTAGCATTTCAAGTTGTGTTTATCCTCGTGAATACATTCTAATATATCAATGTTTAATAAAAATTTGTTTATATTACAGAAATTCAGATGTTTTTTCTGCTTTTAAACAAGTTTTCGAGAAACGTCGTAAGAAATCACTTGGAGCACTGTACTCGTAAATGAAATAATGTGAAACACCGTATGTATTATAAATATAAATGATGTGGGATATATTTAAAAATCATTACATTTGTGTAATTTCTGAACATTCAAAAGAATGTATGTGAATAGCGTTTATGTCGTATTATTTAGCGCATTTAGATATATCCATACGAAAATTATAGTAAACATTTAGTTAACAGTGAAAATGGGACTTATGCCATCTTTAAAACGTTGTTTCACTCTATTCTTACAAGCAAAGTAAAGAAAACATTTTGAGCCATTTGGGAGAAAATGTTGAAAATGTCTCTAAGGCTTCATGTAAAGAACTCCAAAATTTAAAATTTACATTTTTTCAAAATCGTAGGGCTTTGTTTAGGGCCAGATTTACTGTGGAACCGGAAGAGATTGCTCAAGATATACTAATGTCACTGTTGCTTTGAACGGGATGTCCTCAGTTCGAGTTCCGACGGTGTCAGGATTTTTGACATTACCTAGTCAGCTGGTCGAAATCAGTCGCTGTCTGGAGAATTTTAGCGGTCGGCGGCTCTGATCGGCAATTTTACGTGGGTTCTCCGATCAACACCAGGCGAATGCCGGGGCAGTACCCTAACAAACGGGCCACGGACCGCGCGCGATCTTTCCTTCCGCTTCCTTGACCAATCCTCACCCCTTACACACACACACACACACACACACACTAACATGCACTGCACTACCACACATGCCGGGAGACCGATCGGGAGCTTAGAGCTAGTCCCGGCTGGGGGGGGGGTGCCTCGCTGGTGGGAGAAACCTGGTTGAGGGAAACCTACTACCTGACAGTAGGTCGGCGCCGAAACTCGCCATCCAGCGGAGGAAGAACACCTCCACCTCACAAGGAAAACATGCACTATACTTATGGGACTAACAACATTAGCTGTTAGTACGCCCCCGAAATTGCTAACAATCAACCAATCAACCATAGACGGGGTAATATTCATTTTGGCAAAATTCCTACGAATAGAATAGATGCTACAGTTGTTTATAGAAGTGCGGACGGACGGACAGACAGACAAGCGAAGAGACGGAAGTACGTTTTCAAAAATCCACTTTTTCCTAACCAAAGGACCCCAAAATGTGTATTTCCGTTAACATCTTAAAAATCTACCTTCCGTACCATTACATAAGTTTCTCTGTACTCTTACATCACTCCGTATATACGTACGTATACGAGAAAATAAAATGTTTCACCTGGGGTCTCCTAGACTCCAGTGCAGTAACTCAGGGTTAACACTCATCTCCAGCTTCCGTGGAGCGTCCGCACTCACACTGGTAACCGCGCCCGAGTGCTCTGTTATAAAGTGCGCAACTCTATTGGAGCGCTGCCCGGGGAGGGGGCGTGGCTGGAACGGCGCCAGAGCGAGGGATTTCAAGTTGTCCCACAGCTGATCCGAGTGATTCGTCTGGAGGTTGTCCAGGTGAGTTGCGCTGCAGTCCGCTCGCTGGGGAACATTGATCGGCCGTATACAGTGGCCTCATTTGTTCAAGAAATGTGGGAGTCTCATTTGTTCAAGAACTTGCGAACTATATGACATGTTTGCAGGATCACTGCTCTCTGTCCGTAATTTAGAGTTCGTTAAGGAAATACCAATTTTTTAAGATTTTTTTTCTGAAATTGTTTGTTATCACACCATCAGCTGAAACAGCAAGTTGTTACATCCTATAGTTTCCACATATGTATTATTTCCAGAGCAAGATCTTCATATTTAGTTATTTTCTTGTTCTCTGTTTTCTTTAGGTTGTGTGTCAATGGTACGGCAATATGAACAAACATAGTTTCTTTCTTGTCCCGCTCAATCAAAACTATATCTGGTCTATTGAGGGCCGCAGTTTATTTGTTATTATTGGTTTGCCGTAGTAAATGATTGCACTTTTCTTCTTTTTCTTATCTTCTTCTCCTTTTTCGTATTTTCGATTATTTCCATTTAAAGCGAGCGTTTCAACTTGAATGCCTTTATAGTTATTGTTAACGTTGCCTCTGTGCATATATGTTAGTCATCAGACGCGGCTCGTGGTTTTCTAAATGGGGAAGACTGCAAATGCATTGCATTGCATTGCATTGCATTTCTATACACACTCTCTTTCGATACAGGCATTAGAGTCCCAGGCTATATCCAGGGACTCTTAACAAGCACAAGTGTGTCACGCTTCTACCGCGGATTGGGAAAACTAGTTGATGCTCAATGCTACTCGCTGAGCTGCATTGTAATGCTATTTGGGGAGCACGCTCTTCTTCAGACCCTAGGCCCCGTCCTTGAAGGCTGCCTCGCAACAGCCTTCGTCCGCCGGTAAGCCTGTGCAGTGAATGTATGACGTCACGATTCCTCGTTTCTCACAGCCTTCTGGCGGAATGAAGTGGAAACCTAACGCTTTCCTCTTCCCTGTCGTTACGGACGACCGTTATCAAACTCGCAAAGAAAATTTTTGATGTGATTGTTACATAAGTCAGAAATCCATAATTAATAAATAAATACATTTATAAATATATTTTTAAATTTCTTTTGGGAGTCAATTTCTGTAGGAGAGTTAATTATTATTATTATTATTATTATTATTATTATTATTATTATTATTATTATTATTATTATTATTTTTACTAGTAGTATTAGTATTATTTCGTAAACGTACGTGTATATGGAGTAATACATATAGTGGAGAAAGATAGGTAGTGAAGGGAAAAATGATTTTCCAAATTTTAACGAAAATAAGTTTTTTGTTGTCCACTGATATCAAAAGAGTATTTTATGATTATTAAAAACGTAATACTGACTTTTATTTTATTAAAGGTTGCTTTTTAACTACTTCGTCATACAGCGACCACTGTGATTTTTAAAAATTGCCGTAACTGTAAGGGAAACACATAAACATCATCAGACACAAATACTCATGCCTGGAGAGAGAGTCGAACCGCGACTCTTCATCCGAGGCAGCCGCAGTCCTCCAGCTTCGCCGACGTCGGTTATACAGGCCGACGTAATACTGACTTCTAAGTTGTAAAACGCACTTGAAATTAAAAAAAAATAACATTTCGAACGTACATTTAATATTTTTAATTATTTTTTTGTAATTAAAGTATTGCCAACTCATATAGAGAGTACATTCCTCAACGTACGCAAAAAGATACACGACGATTTGTTTAACCTCCTCCTTTCGAAGTCAAGTAAAAAGAGAGGAAGAACAACAAATGAAGTTTCTACATCGACGAGACAACGCCCTGAAAACCTAAAAATATACACTTTTTCATTCAGAGATATTTAATTTCATATTCCCAATTCAGTTTTTAATACGATACAATACAATAATTATTTCGATTCACTACGACTAATACGATTCGATTTAATTCGACAATTTTTTATACGACAATAGAAACTGTCATTCGGATCGCGAGCTCATCCGTGTCTACGAGACCACTTCGTCCGGGGGACAAAGAAGCGAGCGATTGGGGCGGGCCTGGAAATTCTCGGCGGCCGCGCCGGTGCCAAGGCGCAAACAACTGCCTCCCCTGGCGCCTTTAAGTGCGATTGTATCGCCCCGGGCGCGCGCTCGGAACTCACCGTTCGCCCCGACACGCCCCCGCCCCCGCCCCAGCCACCTCTCGCCCAACCGCCTATTTGCCAGCCCTCCAACCAACACACCTACCCTCCCTTCTCGCCCGCCCCAACGTAACGGTCCACGCGTCCACTCACTTACATGCTTCCTCTCTGCCTTGTGTGCCTACCCGCCACTTCCATACTTTCCTCACTCGCCAATCCTCATTTCTCTCATCCATTGTCCCACCTGCTCTCTCACACGCTCTCCCAAACTTGTTCACCTCGCTCCAGCTCTTCCATTCTCATCCCCGCCCTCCTGCTGCTCTCATTCCTCCCTCTCAACCTTCTCCCTGCCTCGCCGCCCGCTCTTCACCCTGGTCCGCCGAGGTGTAGTGCCAGGCAACTGCGTTGCTTTAAGCGGTGAAGAGCAGGGCCCGAAAGCGGCGACAGGGCCTCCGCCTGCGCCGGCCGCCGCCGCCGCCGCCGCCGCCGCTGCCTCGCGCCCGTGTGTACCCAGGGCCGAGATAAACAAGAGCGAACCGCGCAATCCATTACAGGCGGCGCGGCGCCGCGACCCCGCTGTGTTCGCGCGAGGCGGGGGGCGGCGTAGTGGGAGTGGCATAGGTGAAGGTGAAGGTGAAGAGACGTTGGCAGTGGCTGTGGGAGCGGGATTAGGGCTACGTAAGTAACGGTGGCTGTAGCTGTTGAGGTGGCAATGACGGTAGCGGAGGCAACGCAAGTGGCAGTGGCAGCGGCAGTGGCAGTGGCATTAGCAATGGCAATGGCAGTGGGGGTGGCGGTGGCAGCGATGGAGGCGGAGGTGGGGTGGCGGTGATGACAATAACGGTAGCGGAGGCGGTGGCAGTTGCAATGGCAGTAGCAGAGGCAGAGGCAATGGCAATGGCAATGTCAGTGGCGGTGGCGGCGACGGAGCGGAGGCGGAGGTCGTGGCGGAGGGGGGTCGGTGGTGGGGTGGCGGCGGCGGCAATGCTGGAAGGGAGGGCGAGGGTTTCGCGAGTGGGGGGAAGGGAACGGGGTTCCCATGTCCACGTGCGAAGAGACCGCATTTGGCGAATCGCACTAGCGACAGTCTCTTGAGTCCCTGGGGCCTCAGCGCTTACCGTTTCCCTCGCATTTGCGGTCCCCTTGGCCTTGTTTCCACTCACTTTAGACGCAATTATTAAATTCACACAGAAAAGGTTTACACCGTGAACAAACAATTTACGAATGCCCTGTTTACGGTTGATCAATTAAGATTGTTAGTTCGCAAGTAAAAATATGTAATGCACATTCAAATCATGTTGTTTAGAATTAAATTAAATGGCATGATATTTCTCTCTTTTAATGGTGAATTTATGGAATGTAATTGAACATAGTATATTTCATTAATTAAAATTAAATAATGAGCAGTAAAAGATAAGTTTATAAAATTTTGTGAACAAGTTGTCGTACGTTACATTTTCAATTTAATAACAAATATATTGCAACACTCAAGCAGTTAGAAAAATATAATTTGTAATGGTTACACAGCGCACAATGCTTTTTTCTTTGTCATGAAAGAGAAAGTTCTGATCAATTCTCAGATTGATAGATAACGCATGTTTTAAACAAATGGTCCTGTTGACCTTTCTTGCTCTTGTCTTATTTTGATGTAAAACTCACATTAAACCGGCGTAAATATCGTGAGTGAAATACCAGAAAAATCGTGAATGTGGTGAAAGTTGTAAAACGTATGAAAAACGGACAATGTCTTATCTTAAATTATCTTGTAAAAATGAAGTCAATATCTGAATTGGAAATTGATTTCAGTGGACCAAGGAAGTGCAAATACTTCGATTATGTCGGCTTCAAACGGAAACCAGGGTCTTACTTATTTTTTTAGTGAGTAGTCTTCAACATTAATTAGATATGTTGTTATATAATATTACTCATTATTTACATGCAGAAAGTGTTGCATTGCACGTATTACACACATACATTGTCTGAAAATTAAGCAGTCTCTGGTCATGTGAAAGATGTCTGTGATTTTGTTCCGTAGATACACACAAAATCGAAAAAAACAACACAAGAAAACAGTTTTAATTTTGATTAAAAATTCAAATATTAAGTTATGGTAATCTACAATTTATCTTAACTGGAGTTACGACTATATTCTCACACCCAGTAGTTCACAACTTACGACATAGCTGAAGTCATATGACAAAGAAGAATGAAACTTTTGAACTTTGTCAAAACAGCCGCGCTACGCAGCAACTTAGCTGCGCAGAACCCCATTTTCCCCTACTCAGCTGACGCATTTTTGCAGCTGCAACCCACTAACGTATGTTATTTCAAGGCTTTCATATGGGAGCGAAATATTGAGAAACGCTATTCCGGAGTATCAACAGTGAATAGCGGCGCAGTGCTCGGCAGGTTAGAACAGGTTGACCACAATATGGTGCATTCTCTCTGTGTCGGTGTATATTAATGGTCGCTCCATATGCACGGGCATACACGAATGGTGTGTTACGGTCGCCCGCCCACACATACATGTACTTGGTTCTCACTGAAAGCGTACGGATCGGTGCATACACGCACTGTTCATTACATCGCCTGCAGGCGGCCCGTATCTCGAATTATTACATGAGGGCGCAAATAGCACCGCAGTTGCCGCGATAGCGTGTCCGGTCAACCGCGAAGACATCAAGATTTCATGCATCAAGAAAGATAGGGGCTTGAAATCAATTGATGAAACACTGTAGGATTTATCAATATGCGCATAATTTTGCTTAAGAGTATGGCTTAATTCCGGAACTCAATGAGAATCGGGATAGTTCATTTATACAAAAATTTGGATGGTTGGATGGAAGATCGAAAATTAAATATTTACAAAAAAAGCCCAAAGTAATAGAACGGAAAATATGTACTCTGGTTAAAAATATCGTACAGACAAGAATGCTGCTCAAATAAAACGCCATGTGAACTCCTTTTCTAACTCCTCACTCGCCAATCCTGTAGAGTGGAACGCAACAGCGTATGAAATATTACGTTCCTCCACATATACACATACTCTAGTGTATTTATTGTTCCTCATAAACATGCACCGCTAATGCAGTAAATACATACGAGGAGTGAAATAATGTATTCCGCAGTTCGATGCTTAAGTAGTTGTGAAAGTAAATTTCAATTTTTGCGTCAAGCCAATCGTCATTTCCTGAAAGTTGGGGTAGGTAAATTTAAGATATCTTCCAAATTTTCTTCAGTTGAAATAATCGATATCGCAAACATTTTAAACACTTCAAACACAAATCTTTCCTGGAAAGTAGTGAATGTTTTGCAATGTTAGTTAAGTTGTTTGTTATATACATTTTGTACCTTCTTTAAATATAAAAATGCAATATACGTATTTGGAATAGACACTACGAATACTTGCAGAAGAAAACATCCATAACATACATCCTAATTAGCCTTAACACAATCCTTACCTTTGACAAACACCTTGCAACTACTACCAGATCCTTTCTGGATAAGCATAATGAGGAAGGACAAACATCCCAATTCAGGGTTCTAGGATGGGAACTGTGACATAATAGGAAAGGGGGAAAATGCATGCCGTCCTTTGCTAGTTTCAATTGTACTGCTCCGAAGACTATTTGGAAGGGTCAGAGAACACCAAGAAAACCACAGTTTACTTACGCTCTAGACCTTCAGAATTTTCAGCAAGGTAATGGTATCCTGCGACCTGCTCTGTAAATGGTATCAAAAATTTGCTATCGTTCTGAATAAAAAATCTGACTCCCTGGACATTAAAGGTGGTTGTAGATGAAAAGTAATGTACACGGTAATTCTTAAAGACAATTTACGTTCTTTTTCAATAATAGTTCTTTGCAAAATAAGTAATATGAAGATATTACGAGATAAGAGAATTATCAAATGAGGCCTGGGTTTTAATAACCAATCGAGTATTGTAATATGATCTTATTATTAAAATATTATACGTTTTGACGCTTTTGTGATCATTAAAAATGTTGAATGTGTTACGTTTTAAATTTTCTTATTATCCTGTTGTGTAAAAAGACTGATATTGATAAAAGTAAATACGAAGTCATTATTATTAGGTCACTAGATTCGATTGTAAAGTTGGTAACTTAGATTGAACACTTGTTTAAAAATATTGGATTATTAGAACAATTTCTCTAAGAACTCTTACAAAAATATTTTCAACGATCTGGGTGCAGGGATGTTGCACTTAAAATGAATCATCGGCTACATCGGAGGAAACGAAATAGTCCCATTGGAAGCTGAAATGGCAACCAACGAAAATAATAATAAAATATTATAAATATCTCATGCAACTAAAGACTTTATAAGCCGCACTCACATTTCACCATAGTCAGAACGAGGATCGGTCGGAGTAAATGAAGTCATTTACATCTAATAACGTGCATCACTAATTGTAACGAGTCTAATTGTGCCTAATTGTAATAACTTTCA